TAATTGGACTGATATAATCTTTCTCCAGTATTTTTCAAGTTATATAAAAGAAAACTGCCCAGCAATCTGAAAGTTCAAAAGCTAAGAAATACTTTTTCTTCTGCTTAGACTGTGAAATTGATTTCAAAATGGTTTTCAGTGCTATTTAGAAAACGCACTTTCAAATATATATTTCACAGTTGCTTCATAACGATAAGATTGCTACCTTTAAACTTTCAGGCTACTGGGCCCAGCCAAATGGCACAATTTTCTTCCAGTGGTTTCAGATCTTCCCATGTTCAAAAGAAGAAAACAGAATGAGGATTGCTTATACATAACATTACAATACCTAATAGAATGGGGGATGGGAAGGTACACACTTTACTAGGTTATACTTTCTAACTGTAAAAAGGAATGGCATATAGGGAATGTTGAGAAATACATAATGCATTTTGTAATCACACATACAGTTGCTATGCTTTTTACATCCTGCGGTTTCCCCCTGTTTGCACTTCATATAATATTAATCATGATAACTATGCCATATAACTTTAATTATAGTAAGTATGCCAGCTAGGAAAATGAATAGGAAGCCATTTATGAATTTTTCATCAGAATGGAGCACATAGGAGTCACAAAAAGCTTAAGCATATGTATGGGTGAATTAAACACTGTCAATGCTTGACAGATTGAGGATCTGAAAACCATTTCTGTGGCCAGATTTGCATGGTAAACTGCAAAAAAAAAAACAATCTGAGGAGTAAATTGCACTGCCGTAACATTGAAACTTTTTGACTTTAATGGCTTGTATTTCCAAAAGGAAAGAATTTAATCCTTTAACAACAAAGAAGTGAAATGTTTTATTAAGATATCCTGTAGAGATGGTTGAAATTTTTAATGAAGCTTTTCATTGAAAAAATGATCTTGTAAAAATCAGATGTCTTCATAATTTTTTTTTTAAATATTCTACTCTGGCGAGCACAAGGATTAGGTCTGGGTCTGTCCCCTGAATGTGTGTGCAACTGGGGCAGGTTCCTTATATTCTCTTCCCCTTTGGGGCACCCACAGAGGTTTCAGCCATAATCTTGCCCACAGTGTTCTCTCTGTGGCTGTAAATGAGCACTGTGTTTTGTTGACCTCAATTGAGCAATGCTCTCATATACTGTAGCAAAGTGGCAGGATTCTCCTGTTGACCCACCCCTTTTAGCAGGTGTACGAACCCTGCAGGGAGATGGTAACTGGTTCCTGATAACCCTTGTAGCAGGTGTGGCTTGTTAACCCACTCCTGGCGATAAGGGAAGGAAATTAGAGAGGGGAAATTATGGTTTGGGCTACTGATGTGTTGTCAAGGAAACGCAAGGAGTAGTCAGGAAGAAAGCTTAGCCTGAGGCTTATGTTTCCATTGCAGCTTGTCACCCATAAAGGCAAACCCCAGGAAGAGGGGAAGATTGCACTTCATGCTGTGGGCTAAATCTTCCAGCCGTGTAATTTGGCGCAGATCCACTGATGTCAATGAGGCGGCACCATTTTCCACCAGCTGATGGCTAGTATGTGTAGAATCAGTTCAGAGCAGTATGGGAGCTCCATCTACTTAAATACACCCTCATGCAGGCACGTCCTAGGCACACACGTATTTGCACTGAATACGTGCAGACTTTGTCACAGAGAGAGAAAATGAGAGATGCAGCAGAATCCTGGAATTATATTAAAAGAATGATCTAGAAGTGTTTCTCAATGACCGGTCCATGGACTGGCACTGGTCCCTGACATCTCCCTGACACAGATGAGGAAGGCAGTGAGCTGGTCCATGGTATCAAAAAAGTTGAGAATCACTGATCTGGATTATTTTGTATTAGATAACTAAGTCATTTTTGCTATGGCTCTGTGGTTGAGCAGTCTTGTTTGCTCATTGGTTAAACCAGATAAGCCTGGAGGATTCAAATAAACATAGGTTCCAGAGGAGAAAAATAGCCCCCTTTCCATGCTTAGAAAAAGCAGGAAGAAGAATTGGCTTCAAGAAAAAATGTCAAATGATAAGTTAACTAGTCTGGCAAAAATCTTATTGTTCAGAAGCCTCATTCAAGTACCTGGATAAGCAAACGTGCCAGAAGTTCTGCTTGCCAGAAAGAGACAAGGAGACTGGCTCCAGACTGAAGGGTATCTGACATAGCATTAAGCTGCTGCTCACTGGGGTGGGTGGCTGACCAGAGAAGCTGAGCAGGAGTGAAGCAGGAGGACTGAGCCACCTCAGAGGTAAGAGGAGGAGAGGTGGCTAAGCAGGTTAATATTACTGGCTGCCCATCAGAGGGGCAAAAGGAGGAGGAGCTGAGCAGAGTGATGGAGTTGAGCTGCTCCTTGGCAAGGAAGGGATGGGTATCATTGATGCTAGCAAAGCCTCGGTAGGTAGGGCCAGACGGAAAGGTACAGCTGAATATGCCTTCATCTGAGCCTCAGTTTGAATATTTGAGGTCAGTGGTGGTTGTGGAGCCTAATAATTGGGGTTGGGCTTTTCAGCTATGGTCAGATGGTCCAAAGGCAGCTAGTTTTGATAAAAAGGCAAGCAACAATGTCTTTCCAGCCAAGCTAGAGAAGACTATATAGCACCTTATGGAGCCATGCAACCTTAGCAGCAGCTGCCATTGCTATAGTACTGCATATAAGTCCTGATCCAGCATAGCACTTCAGCATGTGCTTAACTTTTAGCTCATGAGTCGACTCTATGAACTCAGTGGGACGCCTCACACCTTAAAAGGTAAGCATGTGCTGAAGTGCTATGCTGGATCTGGGCTGCAATGGGAATGATAATGACGATGAAAATAAATTGTTCTTGTCTAATTAGCAAGCCTCAGAATAGATATAATGGATCTGAAATTGTAAATGGAAACAATTTTATTTACAATTAATTTCTGCTAACTTTAATCAGGAAGGGGAGGGAACCATCTTCCAGAAGAAATGCAAGAATCTGAAACGCTGAAAGTTACCTCTACAGACATAGAAATATTATATTATATTTGTATCTCCCATGTACAGGCCCATTGGCCTGACCCTGCTTAGCTGATAGGAGCTGCTGATAAGGTGATAGAGGCATACCATGCGGTTGTTGTACCAATAAAATAAAAACCAGCAGGATCTTATTAAAGTGAAAAAGGCAAAATACCACATTTATTGTGAATACAGAAAGAATCATAGTAAGCAGTTAGTTCTAGTTATAACATTCCATTCAATCTCATATTTATTCACACATTCATTCACACACACACACACACACATACAGGTTCTGCAAGGTTGTTATCATAGTTACCAGCCTTAGAGTTGCTCATGCCAAGCCACTGGCCAGGTGGCCTGGACATGAGGAGGGAGCAGGGCCTTGTCAGATGCTCATCTGATGCTCCTGGAAGTTGGTTTGCAGAATCAGACCCCAAAGTTCTCACTTTTTAGAGTCTATTTTTATAGGAATTTCTTCCTATGCCAGTCTATGGGAATTGCTTCATCATGCTGTTGCTGAATCAATCAGCAGATAGCACATTCCTGACGGCTCCAAGATGTTATCTTGTTCTTTGGTTCTCCCATTCTTGAGGCTGTTGGGTGGATTCCAGTCTGCCCTCCGGGGGGTCCTCTGGTTATTTCCACTTGACGCCTTCTTCAGCCGATGGACACTGGATTCTTAGGCTGGCACCTCCCTGATCATTCAATTATTATCCACACCAAGCATCCATCCACATACATCCTCTATCTCTATTTTAATCACAATTGTTAATACAACAAAAGGGTGGGGAGTCTCTGGGTGCTGTTTCTGTTGTTAGAGTATTGCTTTGAGTCTCTCTCTCTGTGAATTGCTTTGAGAACAGACTCTGTCTTAGAATGTACTAACACAATTAGCAGCTTGCAAGTTTCACACATAGAGGGAGAGAAACAGTACCAAAAACCAAGAGACCTCTTAATTAGTAATACCCTGGAATTTAAACTCTGGGGAATCAAACTCATTTGTGATTTTAATACAGAACTTCTTTAATATGATTCAACACGGTGGCCTAACTGTAGGCATGGCTGAATAACCACTACTGTAGATGTTCTAGTGATCTTAGAGCCCTCCTCTAAAGAGAACAGATGTTTGAACTAGATAGCTCACTATCAGTCCTTTCCACACCCTGAGGATTCTGAGTCTATGATGTTGTATAACAAATGTCTGAGACTCTATTCTAACATAAGTCTGAATACAGATGTGTGAGGCAAAACAGGCTTAAGTTACAAGAACTGTAAAAAATTGGCTTATTTTGAATCTAATATACCGTTTACTTATGTACAAGAAACAGTGACACTTGTTGTTGTTTTGTTTTTCATTCCAGGGTGGTGATTCCAAAGGAGAAAATTTGTGTGTATATCAGAAGTTTGGTATTGGATTTGATATGATGATGATTTGTGAGTATTAAACTGCACTATTATAATTTGGGAATATTTTACACTTAAGGAGAAAAGTGAATGATTTTTGACATAGTGATTGCTACGTTTTTGAACTTCTTGTGATCAAAATTGTTTACGCAAACAAAATTTATCTGGAAAATCTTTGGACTATTGGTTAAATTTAACAAAGCACAATCTTAAGATGGTGCCACTATGTGACATTTGTAATTTTTGCTTGTCAAATTATTATAATTTAAAAATGTTTTGACATTTTTGTTCATTTCTCACAAGGTGGACAAAAGTGTGTAATTTATTAGCTCCACGGTCTGATGTGTTTACATTTGGCAATTAACTTTTTCTACTGAAGGCCTTGATCCTGCAAATTCCTCCACTAAGAGTAATTATTGCAGAAAAAAGTCATTTGGATTGTGCAATAGAGTGCTGGTGCCACTAGAGGGCACGGGCACGAGACCACTTAGAGAGAGAAAATGAGTCTGCTCTACAGTCTTAGCTAACAGGCAGTTGGCTTTTTAGCTCATGCCATAGAGGCTCATGCATTTAGCTCCAGAGGTCCCAGGTTCAATCCTGCCCGCCGACAACCAGGGTCTGTTGGTGTTACAAGTGGGAGCTTGTCCGGGATTTCAACTCAGAAGAAGTCTCTGAAGCTCAGGACATGCTTCCTCAGCTAGGGGAAGTATGTAACCTACACACCTTCTGGGTGTGGTGTTGTCCCCTCTAGTGGGGGGGGCTGGGGGTGGAGAGAGAGAGACTGACTGACTGCTCTATAGCCTTAGCTAACAGTCAGTTGGCTTTTAGCTTGAGCGGTAGACGCTCATGCACTGAGCTCCAGAGGTCCTCAGTTCGATTCTGCCCACTGAGAATGGGCATCTGTTGGCTTTACACCCACACTAGGGTGTTATACCACTAGTCAGTTTCCCCAAGTAGATAAGCCCTTACCCATGTGTTTAATTTTATGCACTGTGAGTAAACTCATGGATGTAATGGGACTACTTGTTTGAATGTGTGTAAGTGTTTGCAGGATCAGAGGCCTATGGCTGTTTTTGTTTTGGTTTTTTTTTTTAAACCAGTTTAGTTAATTGTATTCTCTTCTCAGTTCAGTTCAACTCCTGCTAAGGACAATGGGCTAGATTCTATGCTGTGCCTCCCAGAACCCTGGTAGTGCACACCACTATGGGCATTTCTCCTCCACCCTAGATGAGTATCCCGGCCCGCATACAAAATGGACCTGTCAGCCAAAGAAACCAACTGCAAAACCTCAGTCACCCTTTACATTTCTTCCTGCAACTCGCTGACATTCAGGCATAAAACCTTCCAAGGAGTTAGGACGTCTGATGCGTTCCATTAAAACTCCCCAGTAGAGCTCTTCCAGTGTCCTGCCCCAAGCCACATGCCCTATGCCAGGGATTGTAGTGGGGGTGGGGTTGTGTATGGACAGCCCCAAACTAGTCTTGTGATGAAGCAGTTCTCCCCTGGCCCCTTGTGGCTCCTGTATGGTCCCTAAACACCAGTGGAGATTATAGGGGCGAGAGCAGAGGCAAAGTTGGCCCCACTGGAAAGAACCCTATTAACGTTAGTGGGAGTTGGTCTGAGCCTTTGTTTCTGTGCTTTTGATTTACAGGAAGTGATGTTCCTTTGCTCATTATTACTCACAGATTTTAATATAGAATAGGACAAAATTCGAATAACCCGTTTCTGCTACCAGCAGAATCTCCATGATCTCTTGGGGAGTCTATTGAATGATCAAGTCAAATATATAATTTTCTTATCCTTTGTACATATTCCGCTAAATCTCAGATATTTGTTTACTAAATATCATCTTTGACCAGATAACACTAATTCTTCATTCTACATTAGATTAAACATTAAATATTCCAATCATTGAGCTTAGCTGAGAGCAAAGTATTGGGGGAAAAGACTGTTTAAATAAAGTGTAAAAAAAAAATTACTGTTTTTTCTTTAAATTTTATCTGTTATAGAAATATTCCTACACCCCTGTGAAATTGAAGTATATTTAATATATTTGTAATTTACACATGTTTTATATGTGCATTTTTATAACTGCTTCATATTTGGCCCTTTTGTTTATATTCTTAATGTTAATTACATCAAATACCTAATTAAATTAAATTCTGTTAGAATGAGACCGAGAAGTTACAAACTATTTTTCCAAAAATAGAAGAAAAAAAAGTGATGCATCCCAATGGCAGAATTTTGAGATTATCTCATTGAATTCTCCATTAACAAGTAACTCTTCATCTGTCATTTTGAACAATTGCTTCCTGGATTTACTTCCTCTAGAAAAGTCAGAGCAAATAAAGACCCATGTTACACCAAGAGACTTCATTATCCTGGTGGTTTCAGAAGTGAGAGAATCTTTCTTCCATTTGCCTTTTTATTTATAGGAGTTAATCCATTGGAAAAAACTTTGGGTTTTTCCCCCCAAAATTTGCCTTTCCTGTGACTCCCCCAGTTTATTACAGAATGACCCAATACAAAACTCTTACAGACATACTAAGGGACAGATTTTAAAACCTAGCCTCCCATTTGCAAGGATAGTTTGCGAGTTCAAATAATGTCACCTAACATCCTAATCTGCAACTGGATCACCCGAGTGCACCCTGCAGACCTTCTCCTGAATTCACACACTGCGGAATCCAAGATGATAGACACAGGTGCAGGGGTGTGTATGGTTAGATCCAGTTCCAGAATCTAGCTCTTTGAAATCCAGCTAACTGATTGTACATATCAGTTAGACATCTTGGTGAGATTAATTGTGCCTGTAGACCATTGCAAAACTGATAGGTGCAAAATCATGGTTGCAAATTGAGATACTGGTTGAAGCAGATTTACGATTTAAGCTTCTTTACAGACCATCTCTACTTTTGTTTTAGTCCATGTGATGCACAGACTGAAATTAAGGGAGAGTGGTAAATGGGGAGATTCTAAACTACATGACAGTTTATAAGGTTATAAGTGAACATACATTTTCATTTTCAAGATAATTCCGTGCATCATAACACATAACTATGGTCTCAGAAAGGTTTAAAACTTGTGTCCCTTGCCTAAGGTTTCAATGTCTCCAAAATGTGTATTGTTTGGGTTTGCTTTTATTTTGTTTCTTTTATATGTGAATATCACACTTGTTGTTATTACACATTCTTTGAGCTGTTAGGACTGTGCATTTCACCAGAAAAAATGATGCTGATGGTGTAGGCTCTGCTAATGTTATTTCCAAAAAGGTCTCTTAAAAATCTATCATTGTACATTCTTATGCTTTAAGATATGCACTTGCTATTGTCTGTTCTCACATATTAAGATGTTACAGTATAATGTATAACTGTCTGTCTGTAGCATTTAGGAGGAGGCATGCAATGCCCCTCTACTGTACGTGTGCATCACCACTTGCTTTTATAACAGGAAACTGAGGTGAAGTTGTATTGTTGAGACATCAGTCAGTTGATTTTAATTTATACTTTGTTTTATGTTTTAAAGTGCCTAATGATTTTATGTCAAAAACACATTGGTTTCACAGTTATGATGCATTCTTAGGACACTGTACCAGTTCCATATTGTTCTGTAATGGAATATTTTTGCAATTTCTGTTTGGAAATAAAGACTTATTAGACATACCTGTGTACTGCTTTTTTTATCCTTAAGACGTACCTATTAAAAAACACAGTCACTGAACTAGAAACCCCATGTTGACCTTTAGTTTGTGCAATAAAGCCCTACTTTCTGTTGATTTATTTGGTGCAGGTTTTCATTGAATAATACTGCTGGGGTAACTATTGCCTGCTTAACTAGTTAAAATGTTAACTAGAAAAGGTCTTGAACCTCTTCTTTGTGGGTAGAGCATAGTTTTATCCCCTAGAGAACATGAATAGACCATTGAGATGTTACTGTACTGAAGCAATCACTAGAGCACAGCTCTAAACTCTAAAGTGACTTTTAGCCATAGTCCTACCATGGCCCTATCCCCTCCCTCTTGGTGGCTAGTACCCAAGGAGGTTAGCAAGGACTGTGAACATGCCTGGCCCTGGCTCCAGCTCCTTGCACCTACCTCTCCTTGTGCATCTGTGCAAAGGGCCAGTCACAGTCTGACCCTAACCTGGGCTTTAATTAAAAATCATTTCAAGATCTTCTCAGCCAATTCCCAAGCATTTTAATGCAAAAATAGACTCTGTCCCCTCAAAGCCAGGATAGAGGCATATCAATGTTGAGAACACGCAGAACTCAGCCTTGTGCTTAGCAACTTTTCATGGAGCAGAAAGAGTAATGTCGTATCTGTGTGAAGCAGCTCCCCTCTTGCCAGTTAAAGAGCAGAGAACCCGGTTCTTGAGGTAGCTATCACTTTTGGTAAGATATCTGGTTTTCAAAGGATGGACGCTGTCTCTCAGAACCTACCTACAAGGTCAACTTTATGCTTCTGCAACAGCCAGGCATTCCTCAAGTGAACTAGCAGCATCTAATCCCAGATAGAATATTCAAAAGAGTACTGCTGTCAGGTTACCAACATGTAAAATCAATACAAAAAGGCTATTTATTTAAATATATTCTTTCAACAGCAAATATTTATTTCTTCCCTTCTTAGGTACCCCACAGAATAAGAACCTCACTTTTAGGTACAAGCTGATTTTTAACACCTTGTTCATTGACTGAAGGTCCCAGAGTCCTTCATTATTATACGCTGGGGAAGTTGGCTTCAGGATTCTTTGGGCATTACTCTCCACAAGAGGGTGCCAAGCCACTTCACCAGTCAGTAGCCAGTCCTCTCCATTTATAGCATCCAGGTACTGCAACCGCTTGCACACATACTCCACTAGCTGCCTGGGGCCCTCCGTGCTTATTGAAAAGGTTTCTCCAAAGGGCTGCTGCCAGTACATGGTCATCAGACAAAATCCCCTCATCATACCCCAATATAGCTGCATAGAAATTTTCTGTCATGCTTCTTTCAGAGTAACCGAATCAATCCCCATCACCTTACCATGCTGTTCAACATCTTCCCACATAGAATGAACTATATAGCGACACATGTATTTCCCAGCTTCACCCTCCTGTTTCATTCGTACCAGACATATACAGACATGAAGTGGGGCTACTAGAAACCATGAGTTCAATGTATCGGGCATATGGCACCTGTGAAAGAATTCCTCGTAGTCAGTTCTCTCCACACAGCAAGTGTATATGCTCAGAGCTGTTATCTTAATCTTCCATTTGTTATATTTCAGTGGTCCTGTGAATCCCATTGCTTCTAGTGCAGTAGGTTAATAATGCCCTAGACTTACCTCTACTGCAAGGTTATCAATGGTCTGTATATTTACTAAAAAGAAAAGGAGTTCTTGTGGCACCTTAGAGACTAACCAATTTATTTGAGCATGAGCTTTCGTGAGCGACAGCTCACTTCATCAGATGTATACCGTGGAAACTGCAGCAGACTTTATATACACACAGAGAATATGAAACAATACCTCCTCCCACCCCACTGTCCTGCTGGTAATAGCTTATCTAAAGTGATCAACAGGTGGGCCATTTCCAGCACAAATCCAGGTTTTTCTCACCCTCCACCCCCCCACACAAATTCACTCTCCTGCTGGTGCTAGCCCATCCAAAGTGACAACTCTTTACATAATCAAGTCGGGCTATTTCCTGCATAGATCCAGGTTTTCTCACATCCCCCCCACCCCCATACACACACAAACTCACTCTCCTGCTGGTAATAGCTCATCTAAACTGACCACTCTCCAAGTTTAAATCCAAGTTAAACCAGAACATCTGGGGGGGGGGGGGGGGGGGTAGGGAAAAACAAGAGGAAACAGGCTACCTTGCATAATGACTTAGCCACTCCCAGTCTCTTATTTATTTAAGCCTAAATTAATAGTATCCAATTTGCAAATGAATTCCAATTCAGCAGTTTCTCGCTGGAGTCTGGATTTGAAGTTTTTTTGTTTTAAGATAGCGACCTTCATGTCTGTGATTGCGTGACCAGAGAGATTGAAGTGTTCTCCGACTGGTTTATGAATGTTATAATTCTTGACATCTGATTTGTGTCCATTTATTCTTTTACGTAGAGACTGTCCAGTTTGACCAATGTACATGGCAGAGGGGCATTGCTGGCACATGATGGCATATATCACATTGGTGGATGTGCAGGTGAACGAGCCTCTGATAGCGTGGCTGATGTTATTAGGCCCTGTGATGGTGTCCCCTGAATAGATATGTGGGCACAATTGGCAACGGGCTTTGTTGCAAGGATAAGTTCCTGGGTTAGTGGTTCTGTTGTGTAGTATGTGGTTGTTGGTGAGTATTTGCTTCAGGTTGCGGGGCTGTCTGTAGGCAAGGACTGGCCTGTCTCCCAAGACTTGTGAGAGTGTTGGGTCATCCTTTAGGATAGGTTGTAGATCCTTAATAATGCGTTGGAGGGGTTTTAGTTGGGGGCTGAAGGTGACGGCTAGTGGTGTTCTGTTATTTTCTTTGTTAGGCCTGTCCTGTAGTAGGTGACTTCTGGGAACTCTTCTGGCTCTATCAATCGGTTTCTTTACTTCTGCAGGTGCGTATTGTAGTTGTAAGAAAGCTTGACAGAGATCTTGTAGGTGTTTGTCTCTGTCTGAGGGGTTGGAGCAAATGCGGTTGTATCGCAGAGCTTGGCTGTAGACGATGGATCGTGTGGTGTGGTCAGGGTGAAAGCTGGAGGCATGCAGGTAGGAATAGCGGTCAGTAGGTTTCCGGTATAGGGTGGTGTTTATGTGGCCATTGTTTATTAGCACTGTAGTGTCCAGGAAGTGGATCTCTTGTGTGGACTGGACCAGGCTGAGGTTGGTGGTGGGTTGCCAATTGTGCCCACATATCTATTCAGGGGACACCATCACAGGGCCTAATAACATCAGCCACACTATCAGAGGCTCGTTCACCTGCACATCCACCAATGTGATATATGCCATCATGTGCCAGCAATGCCCCTCTGCCATGTACATTGGTCAAACTGGACAGTCTCTACGTAAAAGAATAAATGGACACAAATCAGATGTCAAGAATTATAACATTCATAAACCAGTCGGAGAACACTTCAATCTCTCTGGTCACACAATCACAGACATGAAGGTCGCTATCTTAAAACAAAAAAACTTCAAATCCAGACTCCAGCGAGAAACTGCTGAATTGGAATTCATTTGCAAATTGGATACTATTAATTTAGGCTTAAATAAATAAGAGACTGGGAGTGGCTAAGTCATTATGCAAGGTAGCCTGTTTCCTCTTGTTTTTTCCTACCCCCCCCCCAGATGTTCTGGTTTAACTTGGATTTAAACTTGGAGAGTGGTCAGTTTAGATGAGCTATTACCAGCAGGAGAGTGAGTTTGTGTGTGTATGGGGGTGGGGGGGATGTGAGAAAACCTGGATCTATGCAGGAAATAGCCCGACTTGATTATGTAAAGAGTTGTCACTTTGGATGGGCTAGCACCAGCAGGAGAGTGAATTTGTGTGGGGGGGTGGAGGGTGAGAAAACCTGGATTTGTGCTGGAAATGGCCCACCTGTTGATCACTTTAGATAAGCTATTACCAGCAGGACAGTGGGGTGGGAGGAGGTATTGTTTCATATTCTCTGTGTGTATATAAAGTCTGCTGCAGTTTCCACGGTACACATCTGATGAAGTGAGCTGTAGCTCACGAAAGCTCATGCTCAAATAAATTGGTTAGTCTCTAAGGTGCCACAAGTACTCCTTTTCTTTTTGCGAATACAGACTAACACGGCTGTTCCTCTAAAACCTGTATATTTACTGAGGCTCTCAAATAGAGATGGGGGGAAAAATTGGACTGTACTTCAAGTCAATAAATGTATGTATATATATTCTGTTTCATAAATACCAGCAATTGCAGACCACAAGCAAATATTTTCCATTCCTGTGTGGGGATACCCTTTGTTTCTTTGCTTCATTGTTCTGAACGACTTGGAAATGCCTTTTTTTATTTTAGTGGATTGGTTAAAAGAAAGCAAAGATTTTTAAAAAATAAATCATTGCTGCTTTTCTCTTTTCAAAAAATGAAAGGTTAAACATTTTCAAAACAGCAATTAAGTAAAAATGTGACAAACACCTGGTTTGAAGGTATTTAGTGAGTACCGTAAGACAATAGTATGGCTTCTTTATTAAAGTCATTTTTGATCATATAGAAATCTAGGGCACAGTAGTTCTAAGTTGGCACATACAAGAGAACAACCCTCAAGCGGATGAATTTCAGAGGGAAAGTTTACACTCCTTGCCTTTCAATCTAAGAGAATAGCAGGTGATTTAGCTTCTATGCTACTTATTTGTGAGATTCTCCAAATAGAATGACTGTTTTATAAAATTAGGTCAAATATGTACATGTAGTGGGTGTGGCTTTTGTGATGTGAACTTTTATCCTCTAGAGCAGAGGTTCTCAAACTGTAGTCTGCAGACGGAGCTCCATTCAGGTGGTCCCCGGATAGTTCCTCTAAGTTGTGCACCTTGGTGGCTGAACACAAGACAATGAAGGGCCACCCAGCTAATTAGTGAAGCTGTGCAGGCCTGGCTCCACTAATTAGGTGCCTGGATCCTGGAGAAGACACACATGTGAGGTGAGGTGAGGTGGTGGCCTTGGTGGGAATAGGGTGT